TTGCCACCATCAAAACCAAGCGCACCATCCAGTTTGTGGACTGGTGTCCCACTGGCTTCAAGGTTGGCATCAACTACCAGCCGCCCACCGTGGTTCCTGGTGGAGACCTGGCCAAGGTCCAGAGGGCTGTGTGCTTGCTGAGCAACACCACTGCTATTGCAGAGGCCTGGGCTCGCCTGGACCACAAGTTTGATCTGATGTTTGCTAAGCGTGCCTTTGTCCACTGGTATGTCGGAGAGGGTATGGAGGAGGGAGAGTTCTCTGAGGCCAGAGAGGACATGGCAGCTCTGGAGAAGGATTATGAAGAGGTGGGAATGGACAGTGTTGCGGGTGAGGGAGAGGAGGAAGGAGAGGAGTATTAAAAGGGATTTGAAGGCATTTATTAAGACATTAATCAGTTCCAAATGTTCCTAAATATGTTCCAAAAAGACGTTTTCCTTGTTTGAGTATTGAGAAAGTCAAACTGACAATTTCAGTTTGTGAAAAAGAAGTTCAGAAGGACATAAGTGCTTTTTTAATATATTTTTAATATATTGCAAGTTTTCTCCTAAATATGTTCCAAAAAGAGATTTTTGTCCATAATTTGACTTGCTGTAGTGCTGATACAGTCAAACCGACTGTTTCACTTCGTGAGGAAGTCAAGTGTTCAAAGTGATACGAAGAGCTGATCTAAAATGTTCTCTTCAATGTGTTAAAAAACTACATTTTATCTATCAAATGGGAATTCTATGAAATAGAAAATGTTTGGCTCAGTTTTAAATAAATTTCCTGTCATATGAACTTTGTCTGTGTTTGTTGTTTATTAGTTGAACAGTGTAAAGTTAGTTTGAGAAATACACCAGTCAGCCAAAATCACATGCCAGTCTCCTCTCTATGCAAACAGGACTCATTACATTCTGTAGCTTTACCTCTACAGTCATCGTGTTTGAGCTGAGATTTCACCAGAATTACAGATTTAGTTTGTTTAATCGTGTTTAAATTTCCAGTCTGATTTATGCTATAAACTAAATTCGGAATCTATGTGGACAACATATTACGATTTTTCACATCAAATATATATTCTGACCTCATGTGAGTCTAATAAATATGAGACATATCAATAAAAAGAACCCCAGGGCTTCTAGGAATCATGGAGCAGCTCCTTTTAAAGTCGTTCATTTACCTTTTCTGGTCATGTGGAGACCTCTGGTGGTTGTTTTGGGGCGACAGACAAAAGAGGGTCAAAAGGAAACTTTCACAGCATGTTGGAAAGTCATATTTTACTGAAACCATTCCTATGTGAGGCTTTTGCACCATTTTACCACCATTTATCCCTCAAAACCAAAAGAGTTCATGTTCAGATGGTGATTTAAATAAAGCTCTGGGATGAATTTGTACGGAAATGTCTCCGTTTGGATTGTAATTTGTGTGTTTTGTAAAAGTGGTGCCACAGTTTAAATCCCAGTTCTCATCAGCAGGAAACTCTTTAGTTATTAACATTTCATAATTAAAAAGACAGACAGATAGATAGACTTTATTGTCTGTCCCAACCAGTGACAGAAATTCTCCTTTGACGAGGCTCCAATGATAAAACATTTAAAAACACATTTAAGACACAAGCTCACAAAGTGCACACGTCTAAAAGAAATGTTAAAAAGAAACAGCAGCCGATAAGAAAAAAAAAAACGTACTGTTCAGTGTCTTACTTCATTTTGCTCAGGGTGGTTATTGCAGTGGGAATAAAGGATTTTTTGTGATATTTTTATTTCTTTGTTATTATTATTTTCTCCTTCTGCTGTTGGAAGCGGGCGGAAGGCAGCGCCACAGATCACGTGAACGGACCATCCAGGAAGTAGCCTATCCGCGCACTCATCCCAGGTTTGGCCGGGCAGCGGCGGAGCATTTTGTTCCAAACAAAGTAGGACTCTCCCCGCAGAGGCCGGATGACACCAATGGACTGAGCAGCTCTTCGCTTTTTTGATTTTTTATTGAATTTCTAAACCGTGTTGTTTACAGCTGGCAGAAATGGCTCCCGGATAACGGAAAGAATATTCGAGAAACACCGTGGACTGCGGGGTTTCGAGTGCGGCCAGGAGCGCAGCGGCCCGCGGCCGTGGAGGAGCTTAGCAGCCGGGCGAAGCCGAAGGAGTCGCCCCGCTATTGTGTGTTAAGACGGATTTACCGCCGTATTACAGCCCCGTAAGTGTCCCGTTTTAATGTCAGTGTGAATGTGGCGTTTTAGTAACGGACGAGGCTGCGGTGTCGGGAGATGTCATGTTGTGTTGTTTGTGTAAAATAGGTAGCCATGTCAACCCGTTTCGATTTAGCTACAGTTAGCATGTGGCTAATGACATTAGCCTCGCGAAGACCGTAGGTGCGTTTGATTACCTCACCTGTCCTGCACACGCGGGAAGACATAGAGTTTGGGGGACCAGGTGTAGCAATTACGCTGATTACCTGGAGCTGTAAAACACCTTCTGGCATCCTACAGCAGTAATTCAGCTGGTCACTGCGGGTCAGCTAAGTCCGTGCAGCTGGTTTAGTGATGTGTGTTGTCACTTATTTATATAGGTAGGTTAACTCCAGGTGAGCCGCCCAGGACTTGTGTTGTCCCACATTCCCCCCGCTACAAACCAGGTATGTTACAGTGGTGTTTGACTGTTTATAGGTCAAGTTGTTTGCGAATTCCTCTAAAGGGAGTCGCCAAAGCGTCGTCCCGTCACATTAGTATTCCTCGTATCGACGGGCACATGACAGCCACAAACAGATGTGCCTCGTAATGAGCGAACCCCTGCAGTCGGCCGGCTAACTTGCCCAGCTAACTAAATCTGCAGACGGGAAGCCGCTCCGAAGCTTGTCTTGAACACCGTCCAGTTTTTTTTCCTTAGTTACTGTGCCGTGCTGAACACCAAATAAAATGGCTGATTTAGCTGTTGTCCTTTGTTTGTCATTTGACTGTACGAGCTAGCAGCTTGCTGTTGCTATGCTAAGGAAACGCGGCTAGGCGCAGCGTCCGTCCGCCTCGGCTCACCTTTGTATGCAGCCGCACGCTTTCTTTTGTGAGACTTAGTGGTTCGTGGTTTTCTTTCAGTTTTGTTTTTTTGTCATTTGGAATCCTAATTAGTTTGTGTGCAGTAGCATTTACAAACCCGGTAAAGAAAAGCTGCCACGATGCTCGAGTTGCTTTGACTGCACACTTTGTTACAGCTTGCTAATAGCATGTAGCACCTAATAATGCACCAAATAATTAATGGACATTAACCATCTAAACTCTGAGCAGTTTCTAGACATTTGTGGCCCTTATCACATTTTTTTTTCTCTGTCACTGTGGGCTCATTTTTCACTGCAGTGTAAAGTCCTGCATCTCTATGTAAACAGCACAACCTTGTCCAGAAGTAGAAATAGAGCAGAATTTCTTTACTGTCATTGCACGGTGTGCAGCAAAACTAAGCAGCAAACCTGTCAATGCATTCACACAATCAGACAGCAGTGTGCACATATAAAATCTAAACATCTACTAGAAGAAATAGTATGTGCAAGTGTGTCTATAAAAGCAGCTTTATTCATTTAAAGATAGCGTATAACTGTAAAAACAGTCGTGTGATTTATGTAGCACATTGCTGAATATATATGAGAAAGCATGTTATAAAGTAGTGCATGCAAGGTTCAGTTGTATGTAAACATATGAAAGAAATTTAAACATGTATTGTGTGCAGTAAAACATCACTGTAACCTCATAAATCCTCCAAAATAATAAAGGTTGGATTTCCTTGATAACATATTTTGCCAAAACAAAACTGTCATCAACATATTTCCACATGTGTTCACAAGTGTTACCAATAGTAGGGAAAAAAAGTGGTGGCTCTTTGTGTAGACACAGTATGCAGTTCAGTTCAGCAAAAAGTCCTGTTAAAAAAAAATAAAAACGTAAAATCAGACAGTTGGTTGCGGTTGAGTCACTCGAGGCGTCACAGTTCCACTCAGTTTTTCGTCTTTTACATAATCTGGTGAATGGAAATTACTTGTTTTTGTTCCCTTTCTTTTAAAGTAAGACATTTAGAATCATGGGATTTTGATTAAATTTCAAGCTTAGGTTTGGTTTCCCAGTTGAGTGACCCGTTACAGATGAGTGGTTCAGGGACTGTTGCAAATTTAGCGTCTTCACAGCTTCACCCTTTGAACAAAGCGGTCATTTTTGCATTCTTGAAAAATAAACATGTCTTTTAAATCTGCTGGGGGGGTTTTGGGGGTTCAAAGGCTTAATGGTACATTCGTCTCTTCGATTCTTACATTGCTCTCTGTTTTAGGTCCCCATCCCTTACTCGCCTTCCTGATTCTGTTCTGGGAGAGTTCAGACCAGTATCATCGCCAAGATAGCCGGGCCAGGCAGGAAGAGGCACATCTCAGATCCAGACCCCAGCAGCGGTAGCGATTCCGGCGACGGGCGGCCTGTTAGTGCCAAGTGCCTGAAGATGGCCAGCAGCGGTGGTGGCGGCGGCAGCGGCGGTCGCGGTGGGGCTCAGCAGAGAGGAGGCAGCAGCAGGGAAAATGGCTCCGACCTGTCCTCCAGTAAGAAGAAGCAGAAGGACCGGGCCAACCAGGAGAGTCGAGAGGCCAAGAGGGCGGCGGCAGCAGCCGCGGCGGCAGTGGACGGAGTTATCGCAGAGGTCAAGAAAGGTAAGAAGTGCTGCATCTGATGAAACATTAGGTATAAAAATATAGCAGTGTGCTTCTTCAACAGACGACCACATCTGGATAAAGATCACTGTTGTGGGTGTGTCGTGGCTGCAAACCATAACTCTGTTATTCATCAACACATTTATGGCTCAAGCGTCTGAACATTTTGATCCGTTGAAGCACATTTTACACTTTACATTTCATTTATTCATATTTGTTTTTATCTAATATCCACTTGATTAACTTTTTGTATTTAAAACCGGACAGGAAGCATCGTTGTGTTTTGCGTTTTTCCAGTTTTACTCCTTTGCTGTTAATTTTATTGCCCTAATTGCAATTCGTGCTGCTACTTGCATTTATGTCTTTGTGTGTGAGTGGATTGTTTTGTACATACTGTGCTTTTCCTTTTCATTCATTGTGCAGCTTGTGTGTGTGTGTGTGTGTGTTTAATTGAAAGTGTTTTTTCTGAGTTTTGCATATGTGGATGTGGATTACAGCTCTCCTTTATATGGCTTCATGCCTTTCATTGAAGCGCTGCTGGTTGAACGTACAAACAGGAGGAGGTTTGCCGTTCAGCGGTGGAACTGTTCTCCTCCCGATTCATAAACACCCACACGCCAGCGTTTGACAATAAGAACATGTCAACTATTCCTAGATTCTACTTCTAGTGGTAGAGCTCTGAAAAATCCTGCTTTGTGTGCTTAAAGATGCAGGAAATGTCCTTTCCAGTTAAAATTATGTAGGACAAATCTTTTTTTTAAAAACATCTTAAAAAGAAAGGGACTGTGGGCTGTCTGGCCTCAACACTGAAGGGTTTAGCATAAATTTAAAAAAAAGCTTTCTGCATAAACATAAACACAAGACTCAGAAGTTAGATTTTAATTTGTTTATTATTATTTAAATTAAGTTCTATCAGGTATCTGTCCTTGTGTTTACTACCTGCATGCTTTGTGGTTCCTTAATTTGAAAAATCCATCGTCACATCCTGTAGGTCAAGTTTTGCTTTCCCATTATTCAGTCGGATAAATAAATAGTTTGTTGACGCAGAGGCATCCGAGTGGATTACTCACAAGACTTACTATGGATCTTATGCAATTAAAATGGAGGTGAATATATAAATATAGATACAGAGCCAGTCACTGACAGTCCAGCAGGTGTAACGTTTCTCGGTGCAGCGTTATTGACTAAATCACCAACAGTTGTTTGTTTCAGTTTGATCCCTGCAGGCGGAAATGCTGATGCAAATCTTATCATATTCTTGATAAAAAGCCAGAGAGCCTAAAGTCTGAGTACTCGTAAACCACACAAAACACTTTAATTTATTTATTTTTACCACAGAAATGATGTATTTAAATGTTAAGCATCTGCTCACGGAGAGGATCGGTCCAGCTGATGGTTGAAATAGATTCTATCAACTCTAAATACTGGGGGGGAAACATCTTTCATTTAATCCACTGTGTTTTAACAGGTGTGATGTAAAGCATGCACACAGTGTCTTGATTTTTAGACATAAAGCGTAATCTCTTACAGCGAAATGAAAGTTTACAGCAGGCTTCCCACTTTAGCAAGAACTGTAAAGTAATGTCGGGGAGTTCTGCAAAAAAGGGAACATGGCAGGATGTCTGTGGTGGCCATCTCTACCGTATGTCACTTTAAAATGGCTTTAACATGAAATTATTTTATTTATAATCATCACATCATTGCTGCTGTTCTTGCAAATACGTTGATGCCAGTTAAGGGGCAGCATTTGGAGCCATGTTTCTGGACACGTGATGAATAAAAGTCAGCATTCGTTTGTTTTTACCACATAATCTGATCAAACATACTGATTCTAACACCTTGTTGAATATTGATACCTGCGTACATTTGGAATAATACTAGCAGGAGAATAAAGCTGAGATGTTGGAACTCGTGCAGATTTGGCCTTTAATTTACCAGTGACAACACAGAACTGGATCGGTGTGGCAGGTTTGCGCTCCCATCCTGCCGGGCCCAGTGTCTGTGTTCATCGGCTGAATGTCATCAGACTGGGCCGCTTCTGATCGTACACGCAATGCCAGCGGTTGCACTTCACTTTTGGTTGTGTTTTGACGTTTGCTCGGTTTCCCACGACATGGTTGCACATGTGTTGCGGGTCGTGTGCAACAGAACTGGTGTCACGCCCTGGTCTGGAACTGTTTATTTTCACTGCATCGACAGTTTTTCTCTGTCTCCTTCAGTATCGATAACCGTGTTCGCTCATGGTTCTCTTTCAAAAAGACGATTAAAAACTGGACAGAACAAGGTCAGAAACAGTTAAGGTGCAACATCCTTCTTATCACAGAGCTACTCGACTGTTATCGGATTATTTTGGTGGGTTTCCTTAATGAGTTCCTTAGTTTATGGTGTGTGTTAATAGTAAAAATAGTCATACCGAGCAGAAACAGTAGGATGCTCCATGTTTACTGTGGTGCTGGCCTGTATGTTGTTGTGAAGTTACTCGTCATTAGTTGTTCCGTAAATATGAAAATAGATCAACTGATGTGGGTCTAACGGGGCTGATGGCGATTATTGGTCATCGGGAAAGACAGGCGACTATATTTTGCACTTCATTTGGCACCGATATACATTAAATCTTCTATTTTCCTCGCCTGTGATGGCAGGAAAGCTGTCACTTACAACAAAACTTGTTCATTAATATGAATTACTGTAGCTGAAAATGCACGCTGGCAATAAGAGATGCAGATAATCGCAGGATATCGGGACACGCTTCTCTGTGTGTTGTGAGAACAGTTTGCCTTGAGTTGGCCGGTTTGTTAAGTCTTTCTTTTTTTGCTCACTAATCTTAAAGCATCATTAGTTGTTGTTTTCTAGAAGCTGTTTTGCAGAAGTCTGTGCCGCTAGCAGTTAGCGTAGCCTCAGGAAAGCTGCTAATTTCCTAGTTTGTGGCGACAGTTTATGTTCCTTCCTTGATTGAGAGAGAGTGACAGGCAGAGAGAGCTGCATCAGACCCAAAGTAGCCCAAAATAATTTATTGACAATACCGATAATTGGAAAAATGCCAGATAAAGGCCACGAGAGTCAGCCAGGCCGACAATGGGTCTGTCAGTAGCTCGTGCTGATGCGGTGTATACAATATTGTGTAAACCTGCAGTAGTAGCTGAGAATGTCTGCACGTTTTCATGCTTTAAAAATTGTCTTGAGCGCTAACTTGCCGTTTAACGCGGTCATGAGAGCGCGCCGTGACGTGGCTGCTCTGGGAATACGACTGCGACCAGCTGAGAGGGATTGAGTGTTGCCTGTGACCTTTCTAGGGCGATTAGGTTGGAGAGAGAGAGCGAGAGCGAGCAGAGAAGTCACTGTGGGAAAGCAGAGGCTCTCCAGTTGCTCCAGTCGAAGACCGCATGGTTGATCCGTACGTGATTGTTTTTTTGTTTTTGTCCTTCGCCGGTGGACCATCCAGAGAACCTGCTGCTGTACTTCTCCGTCTTGCAATGAGAATTTGTTTTCAGTCGCCGCCACAACTTTGAGGTCACTATGAAAAATGGTACTTTTTCATTCTTGCTTTGTTTTTCACGTTCTCGATTCTACCGAGGAAAGCGTGTGTGTCTGTGTGTGGCTCGGCAGCATGTTCTCTGAAACGAGTCGACCGCTTGCTTTCATGCAATTGTTTACTTGGAATAGAGTCTGTGTGGCGCAGATAAATTTAGCCGTCCCGTCTGTGATTGCTGAGTTCACTGGTTCAGTCTGTCCGTGAGTTTTCTGGACTGACCCACTTGAGTGCAGCGAAATGTGAGTTTGTGTGCAGGTGTGTGTGTGTGTGTGTGTGTGTGTGTGCTTATAATCTCCCAGGTTAGTTGTACAGATAGGGATAAATCCTGCTTGGCATTCTGTTTTGTTTTATTTTTTTTAATGTTCTGCGGACGATTTCTTTTTTCAGTCTTTCAAACAACCTCGGCAGCGTCGCAGTTGCTCCGGGCTGTGACTAATGATCGCGGCGGAATGAGGAAGAGATTCATTTCCAACTTCAGTCTCTGGTTTCGCACCGGTGCCAACCTTTGCTTTTGTGTTCCTCAGATGTGTTTGTGGACTGGAAGCAGAACGTCAACGAGGTGACGGTCCGGCTGCGCTGCGGGGAAGGCGTGCAGAGGATAGAGGACATCAGCACCACCTTCACCGACACGCACTGCCACGTGTGCTTCCCAGGTACGGCAACACCGGAAAAGAGGCTTGCGTTTGGGATTTTGGATGTTTGCGTTGCTTTAAAGTCTTCGTCTGACTTGTCTTTTGCTGCAGTGTTGTCGTTCATATTGAGGGTTAGTTCTGTTAAATAACATCCGTGTGTGTGTTTTAATTTTTCAGATGGACGGCAATGGAGCTGCCAGTTGCAGGAGGAAATTGAGGCCTCATGTAGTCGAGTGCAGTACAAGGAGAAGGGCGGATTCCTGCATCTCATCATGCACAAGAAGATTCCCTTTCACATCTGGCCTTCTCTTAAGGTACATTCTTTTGTTTGTTTCTCGACACAAGTGCAGATGTTTTCTGATTTCTGTCTGCACTCATAAATGATTTTAGTAACGACTGACACCTGAGCTCACCTCAGTCTGACTTTGATCAAATGTGTTTGCTGCAGTCAAACAAGAAGGAGAAGGAGGCGGCGGTGCCCCCAGAGACCAAAAATGACACAAAGCCGGTTTCCTCGGAGTCATCGGAGAAACCCAAACTGTCCCCGCCGCAGCCCCAGCCGCCATCATCGCCGGCGCACAGCGAGTCCAGACGCAACGGTGGCAAAGCCGAGCGAGGCGTGAAGCGCTGCCTCAAAAACAAACCAGCAGGCGACAAGACCGCTGCGGACTCCGTCGGGGTGAAAACTGGAGCCGGGGATGCTTCAGTTACCACCGCCGCCAGCGGTAAGCCCGTCAGCGCCACGAGAGGCGAGCAACAGCCTCTGGAGCCCAGCGCCAAGCGCACCGTCGTACGGCCGCCCAAGACCACGAAGGAGGCTGCATCACCGGCCGACAGGGACGCCCCCTCCGCCAAGTCTGCAGCAGCTAATGACAAAGCGCCCGCTGGCCGGAGCCCTCAGACGCAACGCAGGGACGCAGACAACCGAGCAGAAAGGCCCGGCAGCGGTCCAGGAGCAGGACCAGCTCCTACCAGCAGTACCACCAGAACACAGGTGAGATTAGCCGTGGTCGCTAATTTAAACGTTACAACTGAGCTGCTGTCATGTGGAATTAAAAAGTGTGTATTTGGTGCTTTAGTAATTCACACAAATAGGAAATGTTGGTGTCTGAATGTTGGTCCGAGCTACAGTCAAGCAGCACTTTGGAGGAAAAAATAGAACCAGAATAACTAGAACCTCTTTAATCTGATGACATACTGGAGGTTTTAACATGCTTTCAGTTGAACTTTTAATCAGTGACAGTTCATTTCTCCAGCTATGAAAAGACAGCGAGCGGGTTTACTTCACTACGTGATGGTAAAAAGGTTCTGCACACCAACTAAACATATCAGCTTACTGCGGTGGAACTCAACAATGCTGGTGTTAATAGAAACACTATTAATAAAATCTATAAAAATTGACATTTTGTGCTTTGAAAACATGCCATCTAGAGTCCAACGCTGACATAGTCGCCCCTCTGAGGCTCACTTATGCCATGAAATTCATATAAAAACACGACTGTTGATGCTCTTTAGTCGGCGGTCGGCGCCCTTCGGTGGAAGTCTGTGAAGCCGCGTACATTTCTGGAGACACGCTGATCGAGACTAATGATTCAAAGGAGTTTACGCCTACTCTTTGCTAACCCTTTTATCAGTTTCTGCGCCGTGTTTAATGCTTTTGATGGCTGCAGAAGTGCAATTTCAGTGCATTTTTCCACTTCAGGCCCTCGGGGCTCCGCTCTGGCTGCAGAGCGCCGGACAGTCGCTCCGTAGCAACGCGACCGACACGAACACGAGCTCCAGCTTCAGGCGTCGACGCGGTTTAGACCCGTCGTTCAGGAGCTCCACGGTTCTCCACAGCAATGTCGACATCAGAGGATTCTGCAGGGCAAAAGTCACAAAAGAGCCCTTTGTGGCCTCTTCAGTTTTCCCACCAATACAACACCCAGAAAGGCACACTTGTCCAACACTTTATCATACGTTGTGTTTACATGCACTTAGATAACTGGGTTACAGTCGTCGTGCTCCAGTGCCCTGAGTCTGGTCACTGTAATCTGGTCTAGAGATAAGAGGAACCTGATTTCCCCTGGTAGAAAACTGAACCTGTGTTTGAGTGTCATAAAGTAACACAGGCTCAATTCTTCTATTAGGAAACACTGAGAAGTAAACTTTTCTGTGAGAACATCAACAACAAGTGAGTTTAAAACTACACAGAACTCTACGACGGGCACAGAGTTAAAAATCTTCCTAAAAAAAAAAAAGTTGGATAGTTTCCTTAAATCGCTCGGCGCCGCTCTGATTTATTAAGATGACAGCCAGTAACACCATCTGGCATGTGTGGGCTCTGCCTTTTCAAGTTTCCCCCCAGAGCTTGGACGAGATTTGTTATTTTATCAGTTAATTTAATTTTTTAAACACGGCAGACTAATTAAAAACAAGCTCGGCGTTGTTGTTGCGTACCTGTCTCCGGGTCTTACCGCTTGTTCAACAGACCGACTAATGAGCCGTGCAAGAGGTAACTGTCTGCGGTGTGTTGAGGCGTATTCGAGGCGTCTCGTGTCAGAAAAGTCAACTGTGTACATTCACGCTTGAATTGGAGTCAAGTTTCTGTTTGTCCTCGACAACTGCTGCAATAAGACGGAGTTGATCCTCGATATTCGCCTGACTTCCAGCGCCGCAGGGCAGCGGATCAACTAAAATCAGAGAACATCGTAACGTCTGGCTTGGGTTGTTGATATCGTAGTTGCATCAACGTCTGCATGGAACCAGCAACCGACTGTCAGATCAAATAAATTCACAAACTGACAGCATTTAGTGTCACTTAGCATTGAATTATACAGATTTATAAAACTGCAGATATCGATAATGATCTTTTCTCATTAGGTAAAAAAAATAAAAGAAAAGAAAATCAATAAAATCGTAAATGTAAAAAGTTCAAAATCAATTTTTGCCCTCCTTCCACCACCCAGTGTCAGGTTTATGCCACAGCTGCCCTAAATTAACAGCATTGGTAATTACCTAAATAACCTCCTGTGTTTCTGTAGTGGTTCATACACCAGTATGGAGAAGCTCTTTAACTGAAATGATGTTTTTAATACTAAAATATACTTATTGTTATCATCTATGAATTTAAAAATGTTTACAAAAACAAACAAACTGTAAAGCACATTATTATTATTTCTTGATTAAGATGTCAAATTATAGTAATTTACTCGCATTCCTGGACAGAAAAATGAGTTTTAGTGGTTGAATGTGATGTTTGGTTCATTTCTGACTTCTCAGAGAAGCCTCAGATTTAAAACGGTGAATTCAGTTTGTAATTCTTCATTCCTTTTCAAAACGTGGAGAGCTGAGTGTGAATTAAAGCCCTTCATGATGCTGGATGGTCTATAAATATACATACACAGTGTTTAACAAGTGAGACAGGAGGTCGAGTAAATTTGAAAACACTGTAAATCTCATGAAATCTTAACAACTTTTACAGTTTCTCTTTCCTTGCATCTTCGTCTTCTCTCTCCGTCCTGCTTTTCTTTGTTTTTCTCTCCCGTTCTGTTGTCCGTTCGTCTGTCCCTCACCTCTTAGCTTTTGTTCTATAGGCAGAGCTGCTAATGTTCAGTGACTGAAATGCAGAGACTTAGAGGACGGCGTCAGGGTCCAGCTAGTGACTGAGGCCACAGAGAGTAAACTTTACACTCTTGAGATGTTTTGCCAAAACTCCTTTTCTTTTATCTCATTCAGTTGGAAGAGAAGCGAAGCCAGTCTGCAGACGGGTCTGGAGCAGCAGCCCCCGTCAGCGACACCCAACCAGAAGCTCCCATCAGCACCAGCGACTGCCTCAAACCCGTCGCCTTCGGCAGAGAAGCCGACTCTCCCCAGAGATCGGGGGACAGAACGGACTCCGAGCCGGAGAAAACCTCTGCTGAGCAGGAGTCGGAGCTGGATACTCCGATCCGCCAGCAGCCCGGAGAGGCAGCGCCGGTACCGGCCGACAAACGAAGCCCGTCACCCGGTCCGGCGCACAAGCAGAGCAGCTGCGACGAAGAGGAGAAGCGGGACCAGTCGAAGGAAGAGCCGCCGCTGGAGATGAAGCAACAGGAAGGTCAGCTGAGGACTCTGAGAATGCACTGGTTGGACTGGAAAAACAACCTCCAAACTTGTATCTCCATTTTGACATCTCTTCTACTATCTCGACTCTGTTTTTATTCACACACACAAATTAAAAGCACTCTTCAGATCTTTTGATGTTCTTGTTGCACCTCCACACGAACACAAAGTGGATGTAGATGAAGACAGTAGCACCATCACGATTTCTACACATGCGGGTGTGTTGCTCTCTAAAGCAGCTAAATGTGAGTCCGTCTTATGCTCCTGCAGCCCCGGAGCCGATGGTGAACCTGCAGTTCATGAAGAACGATTCGTACGAGAAGGGAACGGACCTGATGGTGGTGAACGTTTACATGAAGGGCATCTGCAGGGACACGGCCAGGGTCATCTTCAGGGAACAGGACTTCACCCTCATCTTTCAGACCAGGTAGTGAACGTGAATGAGCCACCGGGAATGAACTGTGATTCCCTAGTTTGTGGTTTGTTTTAATCTCCTCAAACATTCCCGTTTCGTCCTTTTTTTTTTTACAGCGACGCCAACTTTCTGCGGCTCCATGCGGACTGTGGACCGAACACGGTCTTCAAGTGGCAAGTCAAACTCAGGTGAGCGGTGGAAGTTTTCAGATGACAGTGTTTCAAAAGAGCAGTAGGAGAAAGGGCAGCGTTAGCACGTCGCTCCTGTTGTTGATGTGCGAGCTAACTGCAGAAGTACGCCGGACCGATGCGTTCCAGGAAACCTTGCCAACAAACTGGATCCGTTATTTGAGCCTCGTGAGCCATGAATAAACAGAACGAGTGCCAAAGAGCTGGTGCTGCATCAGGTCAAACGCATAAAGGAGATAAGGTTGTAGTTTTAAGGGGCTGAAAAAACCCCCCATGTGCCAAAGTTTTCTTTTCCTACATACTTGGCAAAGACTATTATGCTTCGAGGTAGTCGACATGTGACATCCAAAGCATCATCAGACCGTACTGAGGATATTTAATCACTGGTAGCAGATTAATGCTTTAGTCCGTTAATCCGTGTGCGATGTGTACATTTCATTTCACCTCCTGCAGGAACCTGATCCAGCCTGAGCAGTGCAGCTACTCCTTCACGCCGTCCCGCCTGGACATCACCCTGAAGAAGAGGCACAGCCAGCGCTGGGGGGGTCTGGAGGCTCCGGCCACACAAGGTCTGCTGCCAGGCTTCTACTTGTCAACGCTCTCGACTTTCTCGAACACGCCGTCGGTCGGTCATGGATGTTGTAGAGAAGCACTGACTATAGAGAGCAGAGGAAGGAAAGTCACAGCTCAGAAGTGGTCTCTAGTGGCGTCTCTACATGTCGTGGGCCAGAATCACCTCATTATTAACTTGCTTTAGTAATAGCAGTAATAAGCTTCATTCTAATATTTTTTTGGACACCAATTTATTGCGCAGCTCTCGTGTTTAGTTCACGTGTGTTTTTCAGGCACATCTCAGTAGCAGGAACTTAGCCAGTAAGTAGATGTGTGTGCTCATCTATATGTCACCTGGGGATTGTGTGACCCCGAGGTCCGGCGCCCTCGGAAATGGGACTGGAGATGGTTTAGATTTAATTTATGGGTTCATCATTTGGACAAATTTTTTGTTAGAAAGGCACAACAATTGAGTTTGGTGCTACCGTGTGTCTTCCAAAACCCAAACTACATTTAGCTTCCAGTGATGTAGAACAGCAAATCTTTTTGTTTGAGAAGCTGTAGGATGTTTGGCACTGTTGCCTATAAAAAAAAAAGATTATTACTTTAGCAAACTAATTGCGGACGAGTTTTCTGTCGCTTGAGTGGTGGGTGCATTTCTACAATCTGCAGGTTAACCAAAAGAAATTCACTTTACAGTGTTATAAGCTTAAGAAAAACAGCAAATCCTTACATTAGACAAGCTGTAGAGTGTTTGGCACTCCCCCCCAAAAAATACAACAATTATTTAATTATCCAATAGCTGCTGATCAGTTTCCTGTCGCTTGAGTGGCTTGTTTGGTTAACCAAAACCCAAAGAAATTCAGTCAACAGGATGATAAGAAAAAAACAGCAAATCCTTACATTAGAGAAGCTGGAGAATATTTGGCACTTTTGCCGATTATTGAAAAAAAAAAAAAAGTCAAGGTTATTCAGTTATCAGAATAGCTGCTGATCAGTTTCCTGCCAGTTGACTGGTGGCTGCAGATCTTCTTTGTTTACTTGCATGTAAAGGGAACTATTCTTTCTCAGAAATTTTATTTTTCCTGCAATTCGAACCCAGATTCTGAAGAAACACTGACTTGTGACACATGACAGGTTTTTACTCATTCATGTCCGGTCTCGTCCATCCTCTCCCGGTCGACCTGAATCTTCTAACCACAAGCTCCATCCTCCTCTGTTTAAGGTGCAGTGGGTGGCGCCAAGGTCGCTGTACCCTCCAGTCCTGCCTGCATGGAGAAGAGTCAGCCAGGCAGCAGCCAGCACAGCCTCCCCGCCAAAGAGGAGCCTCCGAGGGTCGGGGAGGAGAAACCGAAGGCCCCCAAGGCTTCCCCCAGAGTGGAGGACGGCGGTCTGGACACCGTGGCTCCTCGCGGCGTCTCCGAGCACGTCGCCATCACCAAGCAGGAGCCCGCCGTTACCACGGTGAGTCGTGTTGTACAGTTTAAATGGCAGCTAATTATTACCGTGTTGTTGTTGAACCGGGAGTGACGATAAAAATCATTAAATGGTGGCGCGCCGTCTCCCGTCTCAGCCCAAACCCACCTGCATGGTGCAGCCCATGACCCACGCACCGCCTGCCAGCAACGAGCGCCACGAGGAGGAGGAGGAGAAGAAGGTGTGCCTGCCTGGTTTCACGGGACTGGTCAACCTGGGCAACACCTGCTTCATGAACAGCGTCATCCAGTCCCTGTCGAACACCAGAGAACTCAGGGATTACTTTCACGGTAAATGCTCTCTTTCACCACTTTCTAGGCCTTTTAAAACCAATGAAAACACGTGATCTCAATACCACTCTGGTGAAAAGCTCGTAACGCTGACCAAAGGCACAACTCATTTTATTGCTTTGTACCGCGGCCATAAACAGCGGCCCGAGAAATAAACCGGAGTCGTTTTATTATGGCTCGGCTTCACAGATTTGGCCCACAGGAGCTGGTTTAATTAGGCCTCAGTAACTTCCACTGGATTCATCTGCATAAGCCAGAAATACTGTAGTTTCTGCAGTTTAAGCGTTTAAAAAACACTGAAGTAATAGCTGGAAAATCTGGGTCACCTAGTTCTTTGAACATGATGGCCGAAGGTTGATAGAAAATTTAATAATATCACAGAAGTACAAAGGGCTTAAGCATGTGTATTCTTGTATATTTAACTATCAGCTAAAAGGACCGTTTCTTTCACACACACTCTGGCCTGGACGTTTACTGCGCTGAGGTTTGCTTTCAGGTGTTTCTCGTCACTGTTTAATAGTTTTTAAGGTTTTGTTTCAGCGTTCATCCACACAAAGATGTGGTCAAGCTTTGATGGTTTCTTTTAGCTCTTTTCCACCGAGCTGGTTCCAGTGCTAGCTCAGAGCCAGACTTGGCACCAGTTCTTTGTGCTTCCACCACCTAAGCACCGGCTCCAGGTTCTCCAAACCGGTGCTTAGCGAGCACCGACTCTTTGCCGGGCCAGTGTAAGAACAGAGTACGTCAGGGGCTGGAGGCGGGGTCATCGTGACCACCGAGACCGACGGAAACACAGAATGGGACACACAAGTGGTTATTTGTGTTGTGTTTTTTGTCAGGATGTCTCTGGTCTTTGATTTGATCCACCTCAGCACTGGGCCCCAGCACCAGCAGCCAACTAGCACCTGGTTCTTCTTGGTGGAGAAGGGAGTGTTTGGGAGTGTCTGTCCATCAGCATCTCCATTTGAACTGTTTGGTTGACGTCTGCCTCTGTTATCTGTCTCCAGATCGAGCGTTCGAGGCAGAGATCAATTGCAACAATCCACTGGGGACGGGAGGTAGACTCGCCATCGGCTTCGCTGTGCTGCTCAGGGCCCTTTGGAAGGGAACTCATCACGCCTTCCAACCCTCCAAACTCAAGGTACACAAGCAGAACCCTGGATGTTAAAAATATACTTTATGAGACGTTGTTCCTTTTCTGTAGCTGCACAGGTCACGTACAGTTTAAACCAGAAGAACACTGTATAGACGACACAAAAGCTTTTTTTTTTCCCTCTCTGTCTGACATTTAATCAGACTAAACTTTTCCTGGTTTAGATCAGTTAGGATTACCAACATTATTTCTATTTGCTAAACGCCAGAATAATGAGAGATATTACTCTATTACTTTCTTCAAAGTCAGAAGTTTAAATACATTTAGCAAACATAAATAATGTTGGTAATCCTAACTGACCTGAAACAGGAAAAGTTTAGTCTGATTTAATGTCAGATAGTGAGAAAAAAAAAGGATTTTATGTCTTTTTATGCAGTGGATGTGAACTTCTGGTTTCAACTGCCTTCATCTCTTTCAAATCAGTGCATTCATTTCCTCTTTCTCTCACCTTCTGTTTGTTTTGCAGGCGATTGTGGCCAGTAAAGCGAGCCAGTTCACGGGCTACGCCCAGCACGACGCCCAGGAGTTCATGGCGTTCCTGCTGGACGGACTCCACGAGGACTTGAACCGCATTCAGAATAAACCGTACACGGAGACGGTCGACTCCGACGGACGGCTGGACGAGGTAGGGCTTTTGTTTCTCACCTGTCGGGTGCCTGGAAACGGGGTTAGTGGGTTAGCGAGGTACGTTGAGCCCAGAGTCAGAGTTTTCAGTGTTAAGGTGGCTCTCTGCTGGATCACCATGGTAACTGATGCTGTGGAGCCGACCTGGTCCGGATGATTTCTCTTTAACCAAATCGTTTCCTGATGATTCTCTGAGAGCGATGCAGATTCTCAGCTGAAGGAATTTGTTTTATCTGCAAACCTGTCGAGCTGCACGTTGCGAAAACCGCTGAATGAAGCCGTTTAGCTACGCTGTCGCACTGTTTGCATCGTGTTGCCATGGAAACTTGCATGCATTCAGCTGGTGGTGCAGAAACCCCATAAATATGTTTTTGTATTTGGTTCTGATTAGCTGCTCGGTCCGTTTACTCTGCTGGTACTGCAGCTGATGGAACACAGATTGATTATTCTGCTGGTATTTATAGCAAAGAACATAAACTCAATAACATTAATTTACTTTAATTAGGGCAAAAATTAAAGCAGTCGGCTGCATCATGAGGCAGCGTCGGACTTTAATGCACTTCAGGACGACATGTTTAAATGTATAAAGATTTAACGTCTGTAATGTGCTGCTTTGTTAAGCAGAATAAACGAACGACAAACGATTTTATCCTCCTGATTTATTACATTCCTCGTTGTTCTCCATTGAAACAACCTGTTGACCGAAGCAGGCGACACACGATCGTTTTGTTTTGTGCAGAAGACGAGTCACATGACGCCTCCTTTTATGTGAACGAACAGAGTTTGGATGCAAAGAAAGTTGAAAACCACCTTTCTATTTGTTGTTATCTCTGACTGGGCTTTTAGTTTTTATCGAGCCCACTCACACGAGGAAACCCCCGATATGTCAAACTAGCTTCATAGCGCAGCCCTCTGGTTGACACGCGTTGTAATTTCTGCTACACAGGAGCTCATGAGTCCTTTGCTGCTGCCGTCTGCTGAAGCCTGATGTTGTTTTGTCTGTTGGTGCAGGTGGTGGCAGAGGAGGCCTGGCAGAGGCACAAGATGAGAAACGATTCCTTCATCGTGGACCTCTTCCAAGGCCAGTTTAAGTCCAAGCTCGTGTGCCCCACGTGCTCCAAGGTAACGCACCATGCCACAAAAAACGACTCCCACCAGATGTTTGACTTTAAGACAGTGCTGCGGATCTGTTAACTTCTCTGTTGTTTCCAGGTGTCCATCACCTTCGACCCGTTCCTCTACCTGCCCGTCCCGTTGCCCCAGAAACAAAAGGTGCTCTCAGTTTTCTACTTTGCGAAGGAACCTCATAAAAAACCCATCAAGGTAAGATAATAGAAGTGGTTTCTAGTCTTGGCTGACAGTACTGTTATACTAACCCTCTGAGCCGTCACATTTTTCTTCACTGTGGGCTCGTTTCTCCTCCTGCACCTCTACGGAAACAGCACCACAGCGGTTAGAAGTAGGAAGAACTCAAATGTGTGTTTTGTGCCAAGTTAGAATTCAATGAAAGAAAAAAAACAAAAACAAAAGTTGAATTTCTTTAATTATTTTATGAAAATGTAAACAAGTTGGAATCAACATTTTTCCAAGTGCCCACAGGTGTTGATTCTACATATTATAGACATTTTACGACTTACGGTAGTTTTTTTTTTCCATACTTGTCTACAATCTGCTCTGTTTAGACACAGCCTGCAGTTCAGCCCAGTTCTGCCAAAAAGTCCCAGAATCTTTGTCACGTTTTAGTCACTACTGAGTCAGTCAAAGGCTCTCAGTTGTGCCGAGGAACGTTTTTCACTGAATCTGGTGCAGCCACGATATTTTTGGCTAATTTTTAATATAGATAAAATAGATTAATTGATTAAATATCCTGATTTTAAACTTATTTTTGGTTCAGTTTTGCGATGACACAACGTGTCACTAACGAGTAGTTCAGGTGTCATTGGAAAGTTGACGATGTGGATTGAGTTTTTACATTTTCTGGCTCTTAAATGATCATTTTGGCAATTTTATATCAAGATAACTTGCCTTCATTTTGCAGGTTTTGGTAGTTTGGAGTGTAAATTAACAATATAGTGCAGAAATCTTATCATGATTTGAGATCATGCAAAGCTGCTTCTTTACTCTTGTGTGCATGTGTGTCTCAGTTTTTGGTGAGCGTGAGCAAGGAGAACTCCAGCACTGCTGAAGTCCTCGAGTCCATCTCCAGGAGTGTGAGGGTCAAACCGGAGAACCTCAGACTGGCAGAGGTCAGAAATTTAAACTATTCAGGCTTTAATATTCTGTGCAGCACAAAGCAGTGCTCATAACTGGATACTGTTCACAGAGCACAAACGAAAATAATAATAAGGTCCTTGCTCAAGGACACTGGAGGACGAAACCTAATTTATTCTCTTTTTTTTGCCCTCAGGTGGGAAAGAACCGCTTCCAGCGCATGTTCCTGCCGTCCCATTCCCTGGACACGGTGTCCTCCTCCGACATGTTGTTCTGCTTCGAGGTGCTTTCCAAAGACCTGGCCAAAGAGAGAGTGGTGTTGCTCAGAGTGCAGCAGGTAAAAAAAGAAAAGAAAAACACCCTCATTTTACATTTCATATTAAATAACCCAGTGTTTAATGGACCTCTGTTTGCCCTTCAGAAACTCCAGGTTCCCAACATCCCCATCTCTAAGTGTGCTGCCTGCCTGAAGCCTCCGGTGTCCGAGGAAGACAAGCTGAAGCGGTGCACTCGGTGCTATCGCGTGGGCTACTGCAATCAGTGAGTCTTCCTGCAAAATGTTCACACCGCCAGAGAGGGACAGGATGGAGGAAATCCCTTAAACTCCTCTTTTATTTTCCCCCCAGAGTGTGTCAGAGGACCCACTGGCCCAATCACAAGGCTCTGTGTCGACCCAACTCGGAGAACGTGGGTCTGCCTTTCTTGGTCAGCGTGCCCGAGTCCCGGCTCTCCTATTCCCGCCTCAGCCAGCTGCTCGAGGGCTACTCCAGGTACTCGGCCTTCGCTTCCTCCGTTCTCGTTTCAGCTGCAGCGCCGCTCTCACGTTAAATATGAGCAGTTTTCCACCTGCCCAGAGACAACAGATGCTAATTAGCCTCTAGCTAACTCAATTTCTTTCAATTGTGGGACATTTTGTAAAAAATAAACGAAGCGAGACGAGCATTTCTGTTTGGCCCTTTCAGACACGCACCTGGGAACCGAGTAAATGTTTGAGTTGGTAACATTTCCATAATAAATAAAACCTTCATGTTTTTTTTTTCAGGTCAAGGCAGCAAACGTGAGCCTCCTTATTTTACATTTGACATCTAGCTAGGGCCTCTTCTTGTAATTCATTCCCTTTCTCTCAAAGCTAAACAATAACTGTCGCTGTGGGAATGTTATTCGTCTTTCACTCAAGATTATTCCTGCAGTTGTTTAGAAGTCTATCTGCGACTCCTTTCCACTGTCTTGACTCCTGCAGATTGTCCATTTTGACCATGTTTCTTCCAGTCATGCAGTCACAGTTTATTCGATTGGACTCAGCTTGTGATTGCACAGAGCGCTAAGACGAGGAAACGCAGTTTAACATGTAGCCAGAAGTGCAAAAGCAACAGTGAAGTTTGTGACAGATTTCTTGAGCAATATCCAACCACTGGTGTTTTGTTGGGGTCGCCACCTCGCCCCGGTGTCTTGTAGCAGCCTTCTTACAAGTTATTTTAGATATCTGGCTTTTCTCTTCACACTTTCTTCAGAGAAATTACAAAACCACAGCTCCCCGGGGCTTTGAATATCAGCATTTAGCACAACGCTTTACCTATAATTCTCCAAAACAGTTATTTTCAGATATTTCTAAAGTGTACGGGAACGATCACCAACACATCTGGCAACTATTCAACTATTGACTTTAGATTTTTCTTATCATAAAGAAGCAAATTAGATTTTTTTATTGAGTATCCCTGGTATGAGGTTCTCCCTTTTGTCATCTTTCTACTGTCAGCTCTGTCTTTTTGGCCACTTAGGGGCTGTAAAAAGTTAAAATATCACCTATTAAATTAACACAATCAACGCCTAAGAGAACCGTTGTGTTTAAACATCCATTAGTACCAGAATTACTACGTGTTTGTACTTTTATTTGTATAAAACAGCTAAAGTGAAGCATTTATTCATCACGTTAGTGTAAAATGCTGCTCGAAATCGCTTGAAATGTCATTTTAGACAACAGCTAACAGCAGTGTAATCAGACCAGTGCTCTCTGTGTTTAGTTTTTTTTCATCCATGCCAGCAGCACAGATGGATGAATGAGATCTGAGAAGAATGTTAGCCATCCGGCACACGAGCGATTAAATCTGAGCGAAATGACACCAGAGGCAAAATCTACTATCTGATGGCATTAGATGATGGAGCTGACCGGCTGAGGGCCACTTGTGCTCACGACTGCTGTTAGTTAAACCATCTCTGGCCAAAATAAGTGCTCAGAACCGTCAGCCTGTAAGAACAGAGAACGCCCTCTTCCTCACAGAGGTGCCAAATATTACGCAAGCCTCGGTTCTCTTTCCAGAACGTGCTTGAAATAAAGCCAGAAGAAAACCCACTAACCCGATTATTTGTTCTTGTTGTGTTTAATTTTAACTAAACCTCCCGTGCCCTCCCTCATGTCTTCCTCTGCGCAGGTTTTCCGTCAACGTGTTCCAGCCTCCCTTCCAGTCGGGCAGGACGTCCCCAGAAACCCCCCAGTCCCGTGTAGACCTCCCTCCGATGCCAGCAGGTTCTCCTGAGGGTCCCGGCTCAGGGGACGAGGCCGTGGGCGGCAGCGGCACCATAGCAGCAGGCGACCCGGAGCTGGAGAGCCCCTCTCAGCTGCCCGAGTCCCAGGCGGAGTACGCTCAGGCCTCAGCGGTCCACCCCGGGGAGTCGGACTCGCTCTCCTCCTCCCAGGCGTCCATCTCCACCACTCGGACTTCGGATTCGGGATTCTCTGAGCCCGTCTCGTCCACCTCGTGCTGCTCTCTGGACCCTCACGCTGAAAAAGAGACTTCCTGTGAGAAGGCGGTGCGACCTGAAGGTAGAAACGCAACAGATGGACGCTCCAGTGTTTCTGTGATTGTTGTGTTTTTGCAAATCCATCCTCTCATTTCTTGTTCTTGCCACTTTGTGCAGCTGCAGTAACGGGGTATCAGCACCCGAGTGAGTCGGCATCAGGCCACGCCAGTCAGTTCTACATCGCTCTGCTGGACTCCAACAACAAGGAGCAACGGCTGGATGAGAAGGGTACAAGCAGAATGTCCTTCAGTAGTGACGTTTAGTTGGATGCTGTTGTCATGCTAATGTTCAGATTCAGTTGATTTGCAAAATTGCTTGTTTATTTTTAACATTCTGTGTTTGTTAAAGCACTGAAACTTAAGTGTTTTATTGCAATGAGGAGCTTTATTTGCTTTATTTGTTGTGTCTAAACCCGACAAAAACAAATCAAGTTCAGCTCACTGACAGTGTTGTTTCCTCCCCTGTCGACCGCCCCGCCCTGCAGAGGACGCGCTGGCGGACCTGCCCGAGGACGCCACGCTGGAGCTGGTGTGGAAAAACAACGAGCGCCTGAAGGAGTACGTGCTGGTGAGCTCCAAGGAGCTGGAGTACGAGGAGGATCCCGGGTCTCTGAGCGAGACCGCCAGGGCCGGACACTTCACCCTGGAGCAGTGCCTCAACCTCTTCACCAAGCCAGAGGTGCTGGCGCCGGAGGAGGCCTGGTAGGAACCCTCTGGACTCTCTAAAATTATATAACATAGACTTTGTCCAAGATTTCTGTCTTGTCGGGGATGGCTCACCCAAACACTGGAGCAGAAACTTTAGTGCAGTCGTGTAACGTGAGACAGAAAATAGTCCAGCTGGAGGTTAATTTTCTGAATTAGCTTAAAACATCGACTGTGTTGCAGGAATCAGAGGACTCCAGATCACAATATAATTTATTATGATTTAATCTGCTGGTAACATCTTCAATCTAAATTAAGACAAGTGACCACAATGATGTTTTATAACAATATTGTTCAAGCAACAATCCAAATCTAACCTGCAGATGATAAACAGTTGAAACAAACTTTGTAGTGTTTTTGTTTTTGCCCTTCAGGTTAAAAAGACCTCCCTTCATGTGTATAAACCTGTTACCATGTCCACATGGTGTTTTTTAAATAAGCTAAACGTCATCATGAGTGTCATAAGCAGTTAAAACTATGAGCATCTCTTTTGGGGTTTAATACGCAACAAACCAGAGGAGTCGCAAACGTGAACTTGTAGGGATGAGATTAACATATCGGAGGAGACGTAGACATGAGAAGATGAGTTCTGTTTGTAGTGTCAAGGATGTAAACGGAGACATCATGAGCTATTGTCTGACATTAGGCCCGCTTGACCTGTAACTGAGGATTTGTCTTTATTTCCAGCACTTGTAGCCAAATACTTTCACCTATTAATGTTTTTGACAAATCTCACTACAGACACACAACTCTACGCACACATTTACAAATAGTTTTGCTACAATAATACCTCCATGCACGGTCCATGGCTCTAGGAGTCCAAACAAAAGCATTCCTGCTTTGGTTAGACGAGCCATTGGTCCTCTTTCTGGACTGGAGAGCAGAGACATGTGGATCACTGGTCTGAATCGGTGCCGTCTTTTCTTCAGGTACTGTCCAAAGTGCCAGCAGCACCGCGAGGCCTCCAAGCAGCTGTTGCTGTGGCGTCTGCCCAACGTTTTGATCATCCAGCTCAAACGCTTCTCCTTCAGGAGCTTCATCTGGAGGGACAAGATCAACGACATGGTGGACTTCCCCGTCAGGTAAGAGCCTCTCAGTCGAGTGTGAGAAAATGTGTTTTTCACATCCTTTGGGTGATTGATGCCTCGTACGTCGACCTCTGTGGTTGTGTGTCGTGTTTAAGATCGGCCTCAAACAGGATCTCGTCTTTTTAGGAATCTAGACCTGAGTAAGTTCTGTATCGGCCAGAAGGACGAGATGCAGCAGCCTCCGATCTATGACTTGTACGCAGTCATCAACCATTACGGGGGAATGATCGGAGGCCACTACACCGCCTACGCTCGGCTGCCCAGCGACAAGAACAGCCAGCGCAGCGACGTCGGTGAGTAGCACGATGGCACGATTCATTTATTGATCATTTTTTATTAAAGAGCAGCAGAAAAAAAGGACTGTTTTTAATTTAACTGCTTTTACTTGGAAAAGCACACAAAAAACACACTAATTTTAAAAAAGAATGATTTCTCTGATACACGTTTAGTGAAGACAGGAAGTAAAAGCAGCTTCAAGATTAACCGACCTGACGTCACTCAGATCAAATAAAGTAGAAAGGAAGGAAACTTTTCAACTTTCAATGTCACACCACAACATGCATGCAGCATTAATTGTACATGTTGGGTGAAGGAATGCAGATTTTGAATAATTTACTGAACCAATAATCTCCAGTCTTGTCAACTGATTCATCATGAACACAGTAAGAACACAGCAGATGTTTTATGTCCTGATTACAGTCATGCGGCCTCGCGTTGACAAAGTCAGACAGCTACTAGCTTAAAGCGTCACTGCACTGACAGTGACAAATCACACGTACAAAAAACAATCCTCTGACTTGTCTGTATTTCTTTAAACCAACCAGAGTCGTCTTGGGCGGAGCTAAACTCAGCTGTTGTTTCGTTTTGTGATTCAAGATTCAAGAGTTTTATTGTCATATGCACAGCAAAACAGGTAGTTGTACTACACAATGAAATTCTTACTCTGTTCAATCCCCCGAAAAAGACGATACATTAAAAATAAATAAAACAAGCCAATAAGAACAGCAATAAACAATTAAAAGCAACAATAAAGCAACAATAAAGTGTTTCAGTGTTGAAACAGAGACGTCTGCCACGGAGGGCGCCATCTTGGAGAAAAGAAAAAAAAAAGGATATTTGCATGCAGGGACACGAGAATTTAAAAAAAACAACTAGCAGAGCTGCTTCCTGCACGATCCAAAGTCCTCAGCAAAACCTGAAATGTTCAGTGTTCAGGTTGTGGGTCGGAGGTTGTTGTTGTTTCTTGTAGTAAAGAAAACAGTTAGACACACTCAGTAGAAGGAAGGAGAAATACCTGCACAGAGGTCACCGGGTTCAGCATGGTTTATTATCGATGGCTCAAACTTCCTTCATTTATCTGGTAGTTCTGTTTAATTCTTACGGTTCTTCCTCTCGTTCTTTTCCGCCCTCCATCTCCTCTCCACCCTCCGCCGTCCCTCAGGCTGGCGTCTGTTCGACGACAGCACGGTGACGATGGTGGAGGAGAGTCAGGTGGTGACGCGCTACGCCTACGTCCTGTTCTACCGCCGCCGCAACTCCCCGGTGGAGAGGCCGCCGCGCTTCCTGCGGCCCGTCGGAGCCGAGTCGCCCACCGCCGCTGGAGCCACCGCCAGCCAGGTGAGAGAAACGCAGGAACACCAACCCCAGGGTGGCGTCATGGAAACTGAGTGTGGTTGCAGAGGTTTAGTTCACCTCCGCTAACTCACATTGTACGGTATCTGTTCTAACATTTTGAATGAGAAGTTTGACTGAAGGCTTCAAGGATTTCACAGGAGATGTGCGTCGTGCTCTTGGTAAACAGAATCCAATAAAACAGGTCGATAACACATCAACACTTCAGTAATACTGGTGCACAGTAAAGAGTAGGACTGGTTTAACCCTGACATACTGCTGTGGGTCAGATTTGACAGCAGTAAAAACATCCTAAACGTCTGTTAGCCTGGAATTTGATGATTTTTCTGAAAGTGACACAAAACACAAATTATTTTAAAACGTTATACTTTGGTACAGGTGCTACAGGTTTTTATCCTCTGAGGCTGTTTGGGGTCTAATTTGACCCGTTTATCCATTGAGATGGATTCTAGATCCACCAGTGTGGGTCCAATCCAGGAAAATGGTGGTTTTAGGGAATCAGGAAACGGTCCAGGCTGTGTTCTATGTGTAGTGTTTGCATTTATTAATGTGACATCGGCTGTTTAGACCTTGTAGATAGATCTGTAGCTTGAAGTTTGGTATAGACACATGATTCTTGACAGGAGTTCTTGTGAGGGTTAACATGACAATATCCAGAATCAGTTTCCTTTAGAAAAGAGAACCTGTTTGTAGTAAATTCCCGTTACAGTGAAGCATGTCCGTTTTCCCGCTACTCTGAGAGCCGATGCCACTGTTTGTAAGCTGTTAACACAGACTCCTCCGTTCGTTGGGTTTGGGAAATCAATAACGTGTCGGCCGCTAACGAGGAATTAGAAGCGTTTGCCAGGTCCGGAGAGAGAAGCCTGGGTGTTTAAAAAGCCTCAGAGAGCCGACGCCTCTTCTATTAGTGTCGACAGCAGCTCTGAGGTTCCTAATAACCACCAGCCCAGTGGGTTCATAATGGGAGGATCCGTCATCGAGATGGTCCGTTAATCTAAACGCAACAAAGCTCCACTGTCGGGAAGGATTAGCGTCTCGTTGTGCTTGGTTTCTTGTAGCTTCGCTTAACTGGGCTGCCTTTTTCATAGCATCTCTATTAAAAATAAAATACAGCAAGGATAATATGCAGCAGGTGGAGAACTTAAAAGCAGAAGAGACGCTTGTGATGATTTGCTCGTGCTTTTAGACTTTTGCAAATCCACAAAGACTCAGAGAACACTTAGTGTCCCTACTCTGACATTCTTAAAAAACCAAAAAGCCCTGTGGAGTTTCCTGTTTAACAAACAAGTGTTGTGTTTGTGTGTAAACCTCAGGATCTAGCAGACGTGTCGCATGTGTGCAAACAGAACAAAGAACTCTGCAGCGTACCTTCAGAACAAATGTGTTGAATCAGATGTGATGTGACGAGTGTGTTCTTCATATAACGATTGTGTTTCGCTCAACATGAAACTTCTCCTTTTATACACCAGTTGTAGACATTCTGGGAAAAACCTGCCTTCCATGTGCTCGCCTGTGTTTAGCTCTAAATTGAATGCTCACCTGTCCGTGTGGTTCTAAAAGACGAGCCGGACCCAGTTTGTCCGTGAGCCGTCAGCTAGCTGCCTGCAGATCACCAGCTAGATGTGTTTACAGTGTCTGATTGTAATCGTAGTATTTGTTAGACCACGCCTTTTCCCAGAAGCTGACACCGGTTTCCGCCAATCGCAGGCCTCTCTAATATGGCGGGAACTGGAGGAGGAAGAGGAGGGGCCGGACAGCAAAGGGCCCCGCGGACTGTTTGGCTCTGCTGCGCTGCGAAGGCGACAGACCAACAGGGACGAGGAAGACGAAGACAGAGCCGAAGGGTCGGTGCGACGGCACCGCAGGCAGAGGATGTCGGACTATCCTGACGACGACTGCGTTCGGTACTTTGTCCTGGGGACTCTGACGGCCGTGCTCGCTCTCTTCGTCAATCTGGTCTACCCTCTGCTTTACAAAGCCAGCTGGACCTGAGCGGGCGGAGACCTGCCGAGCTCAGAGACCAGTAAATAATGAATGTTGGGTTGTTCAAGCAAGAAGGTGTGAACCAGAGAGGAGGTACGAGGGTACTTCACCCAGAAACAAGGGGCCTGACTCCCTGTACTGTCCACAGAAACCCTTTAAAGGAGAAGGAGAGGAGAGCTTGGAGCTGATACTGCAGCTCAGGTGGTTTCAAACCTAATTTACCCGACCGGCGTGATGAGACATCTGGGTGGAAGGTCGGCTGAATAAGGTTCATGTCCGTGAAGATTCTCAGTCATCCAGGTCGTGGTTATTCTCATAGATTAATCGTAGCAACTGCTTGAGTTCCTTGAAGATGTTCCACTTCTCATCCAAGAGGCTTCATCAGGTCTGACTGACTAGGTGGGAGATCCAGATATCCTAAAGGAGCCATTAACATCTGAGTTTTCAGTTTCCACTGGGGGTTCTCAAGGGGGCGGAGCAACAAACCCCCAATCTGGAACTCCCAACTGGTCAGTCAGAGCTGATGAAGCCTCTTGGATGAGAGGTGGAACGTCTTCAAGGAACTCAAGCAAGTCCAGATGCTACCATTAGTCCAAGAGAATAAGGTTGATGGAGCAGCAGCACACCAGCTCTCCTCTCTGTTAGTCTTTGGCTGTGACCATCCACTCCCTCCCTCCATCCGATCTAGACATGACTACACAGTGACCCATGTAGGGTCAAAACATTTCAGGCTCCACTTGAGTCTCGTTACTGTTAATTAATTCACTTAAAATGCATCAGATGGATGTCAGCTGTGGTGGGAAATCACTAAATTAATCCATGAAAATACATTTGGCTCTGCTCTCATTAAACATATGAATCATAGGGTGCCCCTACAGCTCACCTGGTGGAGCTGGCGTCCCGTGTACAGGGGCTACAGACCCCAACCTGGAGGTCATGAGTTTGAATCCCACTCATGGCCCTGGTCTGGTCCGTCCCCCATTCTTCTCCCCCACTTTCCTGTCTCTATCTTGACTCCACTATCAAATAAAAAGGCTAAAAATAAATCATGTATTTTAAACATATGAATTATTTTCTTTAGATATTTTGGCCCCATAACTGGATTCGTCTCGTCATGTGGACAAACTGCACACATAGAAAATACATATTTAGTAGAAAGTTCATCTTAACACAACAAAATCCTCAGTTTACTTCCTCGTCCGTCTCCTTCCTGCTTCCACACAATGCACGATGGCACATGTTGTTGGTCCCGTTGCATTGTGGGATACTGTGAGTGACTTTAAAGGGTTTAACAGCAGACTGACAAAGTGGCAGCATGTAGAGCGATTCCTTTGTGGATGTAAAGCTTTCTGGGCTACAGTGAAAACAGGAGTCACGCCCCTCGTTTCTAGCTGAGAACCTGCTGAAGTACCCTCGTATGTAGGTTTTAATGATCACACTCTGCTCTTAAAGGAGGACTGCTGTCGGTCTCATTCTACACAACACTTAGTAGTGTGTAACTTTACAAGGCTCAACCCTTTAAAATCCATTTAGCCTCATTCATTCACTACGTTTCCCGTGTATTGGTTCAACTCTGGCTTCAGGTGTTCGTACTATGATTCAGCTCCTTCCTGAGCTGTGGCTTCCTGCAGTAGATGGACGGTGTGAGAAGCATCAGTTCAGCTTGTTTTAAGTCAGATTTCTCATGAATGAAAGCGAATCTCCTGTTTTTGTTTTTTGTGTGTGTGTGTGACCAGCTGCCTTTTCCTCAGATAGAAAACAAACCAATGTTTTGGGCCTTAAACTCGTTTCTGTCCATCCACCCTGATGTTTTTATAAATGTCCTGTTGTAGCGCTCTGTGCTGTCCTTCACTGTACTTAATTTCTGATTTATTTTGTTGTTTTCTATTGACGTGTGTTGTTATTTAACATCTTTAAGCCATATCCACATTGAGGATTTTAGATTCTCAGGTTAATTGTAGTGTTCTTTGTTGTTTTTTTCTTTGTAATCCGACAAAATAAGATGTGAAATTCACTGATGATGCAACCCAGAGACTGAGAACCGCCCTCCACTTCTGAATGTAAACTTGATTTGTGGACAGTTTTGAAGCTCTTAAATGTTCAATTTAAAGTATTTATACGTCGGTTGTTTCTAATTTCAAACCCAATTAAGAAGATGCTCCTCGTTGATTCCCTTCGACGGCTTCAGAATCTGGATGATTTCATTCCGCGATTTACTCTTTCACGCCGTCTTCGGCTCCAAACTGTCCACAGATCACGTCTTCGCTCTGCAGCCGTGCGTTTGTGTGATTTTTGTGTTTTTGGCTCTCAGGGAAATCTCGGCTCTTTTCTGCTGCTGGAGGCGGCGGAGAGCGACCTACGTTTGCCTTAAACGCTCTGCCGAAGCCCAGAGCGCGTACGCCTGATTCACACGTCGTAGAGTCGAGTTTTAAAATCGACTGCGGCGTCAAAACTTGAATGTGTGAAACGAAGAGATCTGGGAAGTTGTGTTTTAGGGGGCACACGCTGTTTTTAAAACCTCTGAAATCTGAAGCTGAGTGAATTTTCAAGGTCCTGACTGAAGGGTAACACTATGATCGCAAAGAAGGATGTGTTTTGTGAGCTCTCTGTTTGTACATACTGATTTATTCAAAGTACTGTATTTAAAAGAAGATCGTAACCTATTTTAATTTCCCTGCAATAATGCGTCTAGATACCTCCATGTAAATGCTGCTTTCTATGATACAAAGCGTTGTACTTCTCCTGGAAATAAAATTTCCACCTGTTCACGGTCGTTTACGTCGTTCACTGTTTCCTCCACGCAGGTGAAATCTCCCAGAATGCCACAGCAGCGTGATTCACTGTCAACACTGGTTTATTTTACAGGCCTCTAGCCAGTCGCTCTTCGGCACCGACCTGGACCCGGAGGGACCGCCCACGCTGACCCCCGAGGTGCCCTCCGACCTCTTCGCCCACTCCGGGGAGTGTGCGGCTCCATCCTACAGCAACATGGAGGAGGTGGACTAGCGCCGGCCGTCCCTGGAGGCTCGTTAGTCGCACCTGTCGGCTCGGGCGTCCCTAAAAAAAAAACACACACAAAAAACCATCACAGGAGCAGTGCTTGAAGATCTGGAGGTGATCTCGACCGCACTCGCTCGTGAAAGACCTTCAGACGCACTCGAATATACTCGCATTAACACCCACCGAGACTTAACGATCAGAAGTTCTGTTCATCCGGCGCATTTAGTGACGCGAACACACACACACTCGTATAATCCCGGAGCTCCGGCCAGCAGCTCGTAGAAGTAGAGCGGCTGCTGCTCGGCGGGCGGCGCCCCCTGCTGGGCGTCCGCGCACCAACGCACCTTGAGGTTCGGTTTCAAGCTAAAAAAAACCCCCACAAAAAAACAAACCTTTTACTGACCAGACCTGTTAATCTAAAGCTACAGCCGACTATTAGGGTCAATTTGGAGAGTTCAAGTTGTTGTAATGTGTGTAAATCTTCTCCTTTTTTTGTTATTTTTAAGGCTGATTTGTTTGTGTTGGGTAACTTGGGTTGTAGCAGCTGAGAAGGAATCGTGACCGGTGCTGACCTGCTACTCGTTAT